TTATCCACGTGTGCTTTCCCGATCGTGCCCAGCTGTTCCTTGTTAGTTTGGCTTGTCTGCTGTTTTTAGTCCGCGTCTGAGTCTGTTACCCCAGATCCGTCATTGATGTTTGTTGGTGTCTCTACCCTGTTGTCCGGAATAAACCCCGTTTGTCTGCACTCTCGGCTTGCTTCGCCTGCTTCCCGGTTCGCTCGCTCACCTACCTCAACAGCAGGTAGGAGAAGGCGGGTGGATGGAACAGGCGAGACAGGCAGGGCAGATGAAACGGCAGGGCAGGACACAGCAGGCAGGGCGTTCGGGGAAGACAAGAGACATAGAATCGCTTAGTATGGCACATTCGAACAATGGCAACAATATTTCGCAATGAGCCTGGACATGGACAGCTTTAAGAAGCGGAGACATTAGCTAGGCTTACCGATTGCCTCCCGGTGCTCGGTCCTGCCCTCGTGGGCATGACAGTTAGAGTAAATTATACCTGATGGTGTGTGTGTGTGTGTGTGTGCGTGTGTGTGTACGTTTCTGTGTGGATTAGGCTTATATTATATTGTGGGGACCAAATGTCCCATACAATGTGATAAAAAGACGTTATTTTGATGTAGTGGGGACCATTTTTCAGGTCTCCATTTTTACCTTATTGCACTTTATTTTTCTTGATTTATGAGACATACTTGACTACACTAGATTTTGTTTACAGTTCCCAATAAAATATGATAAAATGCTAATTATATTAGCCTTTTTTAATCCATTGAAATGTAAAGGATTGTGTGAACTGAATCGAATCATATTGTATCGTATTATATCCTGGGAATTTCTGAGGAATTAAAAAAAATCAAACCATTGGCTTAAGGAATCAATATTGTATCATATCGCGAGGAAAGCTGTGATTTACACCCCTATTGAATATCCCTGTGGACTTTCCTTTTGGGTCTCACTGGATTACCATTGTTGAACTGGTTGCTTTGGACTTGAAATGAATGAAATTATTTGATACTGTAAATTATGATACAATTAAGATTGTTAATTGAATGTGCTTCAGTTGAGCTAGAAAGACAGAGGAAATGTATCAGCCTTTGAATTTAGAACTTCTGCATGATACAGGAAACAGGAAAAAGGAGTGAAGAGAACAAAATATGGATGGAAAGAAGAAACGGCTCCACCAGTGCAAACCACAGCAGCAGAAGTAACAGTTCAAGCCTTATTAGCTGCTCTACCAGAGCTAGACTACAGACACCACATGATGGACAAGTTGAATACATTCAGCTACACATTTTTTTCCCCTTTTTGACTAAAAAGTGCATATAACAGTGTTGTTAGTGCTGGATGCATATTAAGAAAAGCAACAAAAGTTGAACCGATTAACCTTTCAAATCTTGAACTTCAACTCATTAGTAAAGCCCCAGATCTCCCCTTACCCTAGAACCACCCCGCGGATTTGCATATAAAATTTAAGTTTAAATCTGAAATTCGCTCACAATTGAATATCGTTCACCAAGAAATCTCAAAACTAAAAATCACCTGACAGAAGCCTTAACTTTAGAAATGTTTAAAAGTTAAATTGACACTTACTGGCAAGTATGAAGTCAATGCCAAACAAAATGAGCACAAAAAGCAGATTGTTCCACATGTCGTGCAAAATAGAGGATTTCTGGGTAAGAATGAAAAGTACAACCCACTTACAGATGGACCTCCTGGACACTGTTAGACTTCATAGCCTGTTGCGTTTTTATGAGAGCAGAACACGGACACGTTGTTAGCCAATAGTAACCAAGAGAGTACCTGACATCACCACTTTGTGTTAATCATTAGGATGTGAAACGACGCACTGACATCCATGCAGTGTGTGATGCCCCCGTCTGAGCAATGTGCTCACGAAAAGTTGTTACACAGATCTTAAAGAATTAATTTATTTATTTATTTTTGCTAAGTTGGACCCAGAGTAACACTATAAATTGATACCTCAGTACTTATTAAAACATTGATTTATTGCTTAGTTAAACGCACAGAATGGAGTGAAGAACAGTCTGCAGATGTTTCATTCAAACTTACCAGGGGAAGTACAACCATTAAATGGGTCCTATGGTCAAATGTGGATGTTTTATGTGGTACCAAGTAACTGGACTTTTCAGTATGATGCAGGTTAGAAGGGGGGATTTTGTGTTTTTGGGTTGGTGACAGGGGAGGGGTTAAATAAAATGTGTTGAATTTCGTTAGTTAGTCAAATTATGTGTATTATCCTTTTTAACTGTTAACGAGACAATGTGTGATGTTTGAGGTTGTGATGGTGTCGAGCATCATTATAGAGGTGGGGGGGCAGCATGAAGCGTGGGAAAGGAAATGGCTGGTCAGACCTCTGAGGTCACCATGGCTTTGGTTAAGGTGTATCCTGTATGCCGCTCAGAGTTGTTTTGTGCGTAGATATTTTTTCTTCTGTCCTTTTTTGGGGAAGGGGTATTGAATTCCGGGGTTTTTATAATAAAATAAATATATTTTTGGAATCCATCCTGCTGTCCTCCTGTCTTTTGAGGCCTACCTCCTGGTTTGTGATGGTGCTCAGGGTATCACAGCAGGTGTCATAAGTGGGACCAGCCACTAGGAGGTAATAGTGAGTAGAAATTTAACTAAAGAAACTCTTCTCCAAGATATTTGGTGAGAATGCCTCCCAAGAGGATTTATGCTGAGTTGGTAGATGAATCGATTCCAGAAGGTGCTGTTGGAGGTGATCCTCAAACACTGTCGACCAGGATATGTCAGTGAAAAGGGTATCAGACCTCCTACAGTACAGACCCACCTGCCATGCAACAGGCCAGAGAATAGTGTCTGCAGCAAGAGTCAGATCAGCAACAATCCTGATCTAAGGCCCTGAAACCTCAGTTCACCCTGCTGCAACAGAAGGTACATCTGCGGACTGGCCCGACATCAGGTTCAGGAAGGAGTCGTGTTTAGCACAGCATGTCTCCAGGAGAGGCAACCCTGACATCTTCCAGCTCCTCAGATCTATAAGGTGTAACTCCCCAGCCCAACCTTGCAACTTCACATCAGTTGAATGAACAAGACAAAACAGCCCCAAGGCTGGTTAGGGAGCCTAACTTGCAGTGTCTACAGGAGGATGATGATATTGGGCTCTTCCTCTCAACATCTGAGAGAATAGTTATGGTGTGTCAGTGCCCAACAACCAACTGGGCAGGTAGGTTAGTGCCCCTCCTGATAGGCCAGACTAGGAGTGCATATGTGAATATATGAGTCACTAGACTGTAGCAAGGTCAAGGCAGCTATATTAGCTAAATATGAAATGCATGCAGAGATTGACCTGCTCCAGTTCTGTTCCACTGAGGTGTGAACTGATGAGACCCCAGGGGAGCTTTATGTGTAACTCAGAGCTCCATCAAAAATGGATGCAGCCACAAGAGAAGAATGAGGAAGAGGTGGAGAAGTATGATTGTTCTGGAGCAGGACCTCCATCTGCTGGCCCCAGAGCTTCAAGAATGGATCTGAGAAGGTAACACAGGCTCAGTGGGGGAGGCTGCAGCCTTGGTAGATGTATATGGCGCAGCAGGTAGGAAAACCCAGACATGGACTTAAAGTGGGTGGAAAGGGGCTAAGGATATTGGGAAGCCATGCCAGGTACCTTCACCTGCATCAAGAACATCTGGAGAAGGTAAGTGCATGAGTGAAAGGGGTGGTCCTACTAAACTGGGTTTAAGGAAGCGGGACAGAAAGGGGTAGTATGATATCAGTGTGGTCAAGCAGGTCATATAAAACCTAAATGCCCTAACAATCCTTCCACTCATACCAATATCTGTAGGGTTCCCTGGCCATCGTCTGTTCCACCTGAGTGTAGAGCCCCGTTACATTTGATTCCTGTTATCCTTAATTAACACAAAACAAAAGGAGGTTTTTCACTGTCCAAAGTTTCGGTGGCGTATCATAGCGACAGTAGCACTATGCACAAGCACCTGCAGAGGAAACACACAGGCGCTAGTCTGGATGATGGAGTGTATGAAGTGATGAATATGAAGTGAAGGGGATTAATTGTCAATGTTGACACACCACAGCACACAGTGCACAACGACGAAATGTGTCCTGTGCATTTAACCCGTATGTGACATACATATTTATGCATTAATGAGATTTTAGAAGCACCAGCATGTTGACCGCATATTTTTGGACTGAAAAGGGAAGCTGGAGTTCAAAAACGAAACCCGTGTTGCGTGCTGAGAACATGCAAATGACAAACACAGTGCAGGGCTGCAAACAGACAGGCAGCAGTGACCTAGCATGTCATCTGTTGTTTATTAGTAATCAGTTGTGGAAACCAAAAGTGATGTGACTGCACTGGTTCAGAGTTTGTTTGTGTATCAGAGTTTATATAAATACAAAAATGAAGATGAAAAATGAAGAAAGGAAGTCTTAGAAAGGTATATGTTAAGTTTAATACATAATTTCAAGAATAAAACAAAATGCTCTTTTTCCCCATTTCAGGAAATATATAAAATCTTAATTTCAGTTAATGTGGCAACACAAAAGCGAAATCACAAATTAGCCTGACATCATCACAATTATTTTACTACCCCAGGTCAATAAGAATTATTTGCATAATGCAACATTTACACATTTATTTTACATTGGTTTGTTAGCAAATCATTTTAAATTTGAGTTTGTAATTCCTCAGCTTAGACATCCCTCATTTTTTGTGGTGAAGTCTATCTGGGATGAATGGAGCCATAATCATCGTCATCATCATCATTGTCATCACCATCATCTTCATCATCATCATCATCATCATCATCGGATACAACGGAGGGAAAAATGTGGCAACATCCAGAGTATTATTTTTATTAAAATGGGGTCAATACGTTGACAGTTTTTGTATGTAAATTTTACTTTTATCTGGAACGAAGCCTGTAACCCAGAAAGAGACGGTGTGTTAGCAGCAATAAACATCGCATTTCAAAAACCACACGTTGGCAAATGTGACCAGGGGGGTGGGGGGGGCAGTGGTAATGGTGCCCCAACCAACTCCCAGGTGGCTGTCAGTTATCATGGGCAGCTGTTCCTGGCTCTTCTGGGCGTTACAGAGCACCCACACTCACTCCCAAGCAAAGGGGGCAGAATGACTCCAATCCAACTGACTGCTGCCAGGTCCGACCCCCACCCATCCGCCTGGCTCACCCTTCGAAGCGCCAGAACCCCCCCTTGACCACAGAGGACCGAGGACGATGCACCTGGACCCCAGCCCCCTCACCACCTCACCCACACCATAAATAAACCACCCCCTGGGGACTCGATCACTTCCTGTGTCTCTGGCTCTTTCCTGCACCCGGTGTGATGATAATTTTTATCACAGAAACAATCTTCGTTTAAAACACATATCATTTCCAAGCTGCTGTTTGATTGTGTCATGTGACCATGGCATTGCCTCACTCACCAGAGTTACTCCTCTTCCTCCAGACCAGAAATGCACCAATGCCAACGGCCACCACAAGAACAGAGACTGAAACATAGACGCCGATGAGGGTAAGGGGAGAGCCGGAATCTGGAATCAGAAGCAGAGAAGGAGTGATGGGAAAACAGGAGAAAGATATCCAGAGAGACGGATGCATTATTAAACACACTGTCCAGCAGACTGATCTTCTCCTGGACTGTTTGGTGACGATTCCAGCACAATAAATAATAAATACACATTCATACGAGAAATGTTTAGCTTTGAGGAGAGACTGGCTAGATATCTGCAGGCGCCGTCTTCTTTATGATTTAAAGTATTAGATTACATTTAGTCAAATGCAGGTAAAACAAACTACATCAGGAGAAAGAGCAAAGGATGGTCATTATTTCATCAGAAACAGGGGGATGCAGTGGAGATGGAGTGAGAGCGAATGGGTGCCAGTTGGGCTTTGGGCTGTTCACATGCGTGCACAGCAACGAGGAATAAAGGCAACATGAGCCAAATTTGCCTTTGAGGTAAACGCCAGTCCTCAGCCTGAGCTCTTTGCTGCTTCATATCACTCACTGCTGTTGCTCAGTATCTGTTTCTCCATCACCGCCTTGACGACGTCGCGGTCGTCGCTGATGTGCTGCACAGTGCAGGTGTACACATGCTCCCGCAGGTCCTCAGGCGACACTCTCAGGCTGATTCTCTTCTGAAAGGTCCCGTCGCCGTTGGGAACCGTCTCGCCCACCGTCACGTCGTCGTGGAGCTCAAGCCCGTCCTTCTGCCAGAACATCACCACACCGCTGGGGGAGAAGCCGGTGGCGTGACAGATCACAGGAGAGGAGTCGTCTCTGTGGAGGAGAGACACGACTGGGGGGACTGGGGTGAAAGAGGAAGAGGAAGGTTTTATATTAACATTTATATTAATATGAGATGCTGAGATGCTGTGACTGATCATGGACAAACACATGTTCCTGCACCTTTCTTCTGCAGGGTGTCTCTGCCATGGTCCAGATACTTCTTCAGCCATTCGATGCATGTGATCTGCAGG